GGGCACCCCCCAATCGGCCTTGCTCTGAGCCCGACCAGGGGCTGCACCTAGGGATTGGGCCTGCCCTCTGCCTCCCGGGAGCAGGCCTAAGTCAGCAGGTCGTTATCTCCTGAGGGGTCCCAGACTGCAAGAGGGCACAGGCTGGGCTGAGGGAAACCCCCTCCAACCGAGTGCACGAATTTTTGTGCACTGGGCCTCTAGTATACTAATAAAAGCCTAGGTGGCACTACCTCCCTCCCCTCATGTCATCACAGGATGGCCTGGCAGGGTAGGGCAGTTGGGAGGGAGTGGGCCTGCATGGGGGTGCAGTTAGGGATGAACAAGTCAGCAGTGGAGGGCAGTTGGGGGTGATCAGGCCATCAGGGGAGCAGTTAGGTATCAATCAGGCCAGCAGGGGAGCAGTTAGGTGTCAATCAGGCCAGCAGGGGAGCGGTTAGGGGGCCATCAGGCTGGCAGACAAAAGTGGTTAGAGGCAATCAGGCAAGCAGGCAGGAAGTGGTTAGGAGCCAGCAGGCCCAGATTGTGAGATGGTGCAGGCTTGGCTGAGCGACAACCCCCTACCTCCTCCATCCCACCGGCACAAAATGTGTGCATTGGGCCTCTAATATATATATATATTCTCCTTCCCACCCCCCATTGACCCCTTCTACCTGGCCCTGCCCCCCATACCTGCCCTTCACTAACTACTGTCAGTGTCCATGGGTTATGCATATATCTGTCTCCTTCAGTACATTGACATAAGCTATTTGTCCTATGGTTAGGGAGGTAAAATGCAAATCATTTACTCTTAAGTGTCCTTGGTTTAGGGAAGATAGGACACAATAGATAACTCCAAATTGCTGTTTAACCATCTCAGTTTCCTATTCTATCCATCCAATTAGTTAGAATTAACATTTAGCAGATTAACAATATATTCAGATTTTTTAAAAAAACAACAATATTTATTCATTAAGAGATTCCAATCCATCTTCTAGATCAGCGGTTCTCAACTGTGGGTCATGACCCCTTTGGGGGTCGAACAATCCTTTCACAGGGGTTGCCTAAGACCATTGGAAAACACATATATAATTACATATTGTTTTTTGATTAAGCACTATGCTTTAATTATGTTCAATTTGTAACAATGAAATTGGGGGTCACCACAATATG